ATAGGAAATAGTACACCCACGTAGGAAATAGTACAACTGCATAGGAAATAGTACACCCACGTAGGAAATAGTACAACTGCATAGGAAATAGTACACCCACGTAGGAAATAGTACACCCACGTAGGAAATAGTACACCCACGTAGGAAATAGTACAACTGCGTAGGAAACCGTAGGCTTGCGTAGGAAACAGTACACTTTTGTAGGAAACAATACACCCACCTAGGAAATAGTAGGCCTAATATGCGTAGAAAATCGGAAAGCATCACGTTACAACATTCTGAACGCTTCGCTTTTAGACTTAGTAACTTCAGACTTTCCGACTTTCAGAATTACTGACTTAGTTGTGTAGGCAGCGGTCACGCCCAGATCTAGAGCAGCATATTTTAACTAGATCGTCTTCTACCGTGAAACATCGCGACACTAGCGATCCTGGTGGAGAGCGTTTCATGATTGCCAGGCTGCGCCTTGCGGGTGTGGCGCGTTAGAAAATCGAAGGAAAGATATCCCGTAATTATGTTAATTAATCGCGTGATAAATGCGGTAGCACGTAGTCGTGAGTATATATTGTATATAGTTTTATGTGAAAAATATCCGTGTTATTACTCAATATAATAATTGTAAAGTGCCCCATATTCAGGAGTTTTGCATTATACTGTAGCATATGCCAAGTTCTGTGTTTTCCACATGCCTAGAATTTACTATTAGAAATTATATTTTGTTGAAATTGCATATTTAAAAGAGAAGGTACATACGAGTAGTTTTGTAAGTAAATATAATCTATGCCCGGTGTCTAGTTTTAGGAATTACGAGGTTCCTATGCTTACAGAATCAAAGATTCACGCATATTCAGTATTTACCAACCAAAATACCAGTTTGTTAACATACATTAAAAGTAGAGAGCACATGTTTACGAGTAGGTTAATGTGAAAAATATCCATCCAATTTTTTTACTCGAGTTGATGCTTATGTCATCATCAGCCGCCGCGCAAATATTGTCACGGCGTCAACTATTCGTATTTCCCTATATTGAAGCATAAATGGGAAACTACTACAACTACGTCGATCAATGTCGGCATGATGCTTCCTTGAGTCAGGAACAACAAATATCACTCCAAACTTCACGGTCGCTCATAGTGATCATAATGATAGTCAAATGAGAAGCATCGGTGTCGAATACTGAGTATCTGCCAACCGAAATATTGATCGGTTGAGGTTATATACATTTAAAATAAAGAGGGTAGCTTCATGCGTAGTTCGATAAATGTCTATCTCAACATTTTACCTTAATTATAAGGCGCCAGATCTTCATGAGTTTCGCCTTACAGTAGGATAGGGTAGGATCAGAAACTACTCACACTAATGTTGGAAACTTACTGGCCTTGCTTTTTGAGAAAGCAACATGGTTTTCCAGCGCATGTGTGTGCACGTATATGCATGCGTGCATGTGCATGCGCGCGGGTGCGTTCGTGTGGGTGCGTGTGCGTGTGTGTGCGTGTGTGTGTGTGTGTGTGTGTGGTGTGTGTGTGTGTGTGTGTGTGTGTTGCGGTGTGTTGTGCACGCGCGCGTTTTAAAATAAATACAACCCTATCATCTTTAAACGGCATTTTTTCTATCATCTCATTTTATATCAGCGAACGCGCTCTCCCCCAGTATTGTGTCCGCGCGAGATAGTGGAGATATCAATCGCACAAATCAGCGCAAATTAAAGTCTCAAATACGATTTATTCTTCCTACAACGCAATTCTCTCTAAATCCCTTCTCCAATTTCCTACCTTTTTAGCATGTAAGTATAACATAATAATCAGCAGTGAATAATAGTAGACTCAGTATTATTATTATTATTATTATTATTAGTATTATTATTATTATTATATTATTATTATTATTATAGAATTATTATTCACTCCTGATAATATCAGATTATATAATCTATATTAACACACGCCTGATATTATGTATAATATTTTATTCATGCTCGCCGCATTCTCGCTCGCCGCTATAACAGGCGCCAATGCACCGCGAGAGGGGCGTGGCGGTAGCATGTGGATGCATTCTGCCGCTGCTGTTGTCGCTGCTGCTGCTGCTGCTTGCTGTCGCTGTTGCTGCTACTACGCATTAGCATCGACTAGTCGTCAGGCGTAATAGTGATGTATGCAATGCGCGCGCGCACGCTGGTCGAGGTGGCGATGTCGCGCGCAGCCACACGCGCGCTACACGCGTGCGCCGGCTAGTTAGCCCCGGTCGTCTGCTCGCACGTGCCATCACGCAGGTCGCTGCGTGTAGCTGCGTCACGCCGATGACGCAATGACGACGTCGCGGAAGACGTCGCGGTGCCACCGCCGTACGCCACCTGTCGCGGACGTCGCGACGATGCCATCCGGTCTGCGATGAACCTTAGTGCTGCTGCTGCTGTGTCATCGTCATCGTCTACGTCGTCGCGTCGCTGCCGACCGCCGACGGCTATCACGTGGTCGTGCTCGCGCCCGTCTCGTGCGTCGTAGTCGGTGACGCGCGCGCCGTGTCGGCACGGTCGATTAGAGTCTCGCCGACGCTCCGCGAACAACGTCACGACGTCGTCGTCGACGTTTGCTCGCCGACCAGCGGTCTCGCGAGTTTGTTCGGCATGTACCGCGGCGTCGGCCGACCGTCGTTACGCGTTGTTCGGGCCGCCGACGTCGGCGCTGTAGTGAGCCGGGCGGCCGGTCTCAGCTCGTACTGGGGCGTGCCGATGGTGTTCGTGGGGCTGCGGCGACGACGAGCTGTCGGCGAAGCACAAATACCCGACGTTCGCGCGCGCGACGCGACGAGCGCGAAACGTCGGCGCGCGCGCTGGCGCACACGCTGCGGCACTTCGGCTGGATGTACTCGCTGATTCGTCGCCGATGCGCGGCGAGGTCAAACGTCGCGCGCGAAATTGCCGAGGAAAATGCGCGCCTGGGCGGCGACGTCGACGTGCGGCCCGTGTTCGAGCGTAGCGCGACGGATTGCGGCCATCTGTCGGTGAGATGGGAAACTTAACCGAGAATCAAAAGGTGAGATAAGGCAGTGATCGTATCAGTGGTCGTGCAGTGGTAGCACCATCATCACCACTATCAGTAGCAGCAAAAGCAGGCAGTCAGCACAGCAGCAGTAACAGCAACAGCAGCAACAGCACACAACACAGCGGAGGACAGAGCACTAGCAGAAACAGTAGCAGTATATAGCAGCAGCACCAGCAGTAGTATAATAGTAGTAGGTAGTAGTAGTAGTAGTAGTAGTTAGTAGTAGTGTAGTAGAGTACTGTAGTAATATAATATTAGTAGTAGTACTAGTAGTTAGTTTCCAGCGACAGCGAGCAGCGTAGCAGCAGCAGCAGCAACAACAGCAGCGCAAACTCCACCACATTTATGAAAAGCGCGTTTCATTATGCGTTCAGTACAATGTAAGTAAACGTACGATGGGAAACAAAAGGGTTTCTTACCGCAATTTTTAATCCGCCCTTTGTTCGGACAAAGTTGTTTTTGCATCTGCGTGTTTCGTGACACGAATGCATTAATTTTCAATCGATCGCATTTATATTTTTGTGCAGTGAGTGGCAGTTGCAGAGTGCAAGTGTTAGCAATTTGATCCGTTACACTATGATATTATGAAAACGCCGTACCTTGTAATTCTTTGAGCAACGCGCGTTTAATAAACATTCTTCACGTTAAGATTTTTTAGTAAACGCGAGCAGACTATTATTTTAATGCATAACTTCGACTCGATGATGTTTTTCAGTCCTCACGCTGAGTATTCCCACGTAAAACTATATTCAATTGAACTTGCGGAGATGGTGTAGTTTCAGAAAGCATTTTAGGTGCAGCTTGCATGAAAAGAGTTTATGTGCTTTAATGGTAGAGCTAGATGGTGCAATGTAGTATATATATTATTATTATATTCTAATAATATAGTATTTGTGTGTGCGTGCTTGAGTGGGTGTTGTGTGTGTGTGTGTGTGCTGTGTGTGTGTGTGCGTTGGATGTGTGGTGCTGGTGTGCGTGTATGTGTAACCAACAGCGTGTAAGTAATCAACGTAAATAACAGGTATTGTATTATTGTACTTGTTGGCATCACAATATAGAATATACTTATAGAGGAATCGAGGAATTAACACATCATAGACGTCAGTGCGTAGACAGGTCCTCAGTTGTTGGGTTATTTATTTCGCTGTTACTTCTATCGCAAAGTATACGAAGAGTGTGTGGCGTGAGGCGAGCGCACCCCCCCCCTGAAAAGATCCGAAAGAACCGAAAAGATCTCCGCATGAGCGTGAATTTGAAAGTGAAACATGACACTCTCCGACTGAACGTCGATGGAATATCCGTTGAAATTGACACCATATGCGCGCATCCTGGACGGATAAATAAGATCCTACCCCTAACCCGTACCCTAACCCGTACCTACTAATCCATAACCTAACCCGTCCACCGTTACCCTAACCCGTACCCGTAAAACCGTTACCTAACCCGTACCCTAACCCGTACCCTAACCCGTACCCTAACCCGTACCCTAGCCCCAACTACAACCGCAACTACAACCGCAACCCCGACCCCAGCCTTAACCCTGACCTGTGTGTTTAACTTGTTTGGTAAGTTAGGTCTTTACAGGTACGTGGGTTTTTATTGCGTACGTATTTATTGTTTATTGCATAAAGCACAGCTTAACTGTACTCTTGTTCTGCGATGGCGACGTGGAAGATAGGTCTGAGCCAATTTGTGTGCGTGTGCACCTAACATTGTTATACTGTCGTTAAATATAAGTTATTCTTTATTTACGCAGCAATAATCCTGTGCATTGACGTGTCTTCGGCCGAATCTACGGATCTTGAAACAATCATACAGGCGGTAGAGGAAAGCGGACTTACCAAGGACCGGGTTGCGTTCATTATACTCGAAACGCTGTCTACCTTCTTTACGAATGAACCGTATGGCTCTGATCCCAGGTTAGTTACGCTTTGTTGTAACGTCTCTACCCCACAGATTTATCGCATATAGAGACATCGTTAGCGCCGATCGTTTTTATGTCATTCTCATTTTCATTATTCCCCGTCCTACTTCCTGTTAGTCGAGTATATATCTCCTCATTCTTCCTATTTCCTTTAGTCTTTATACCCTTCCTCTTCTCGGTCTCCTCCTGCCTCTTCTCCGTTTCGTTCTCCCCCGTATCCTGTTCCACGCTCCTTCACTTCATTTTAGTTTCTCATTCATTAACGCGGTAGATATGAGCGCGTTTAGTTCTATAACAAAATCACGCATCTAATATAGAGAGATGGATGGGTTGGTGGTTGTATGGATAAATGGATGGATAGATGGATAAATGGATGGATGGATGGATAGATGAATGGATGGAAAGGTGAATGGATGGATGGATGGATGGATGGATGGATGGATTGATGGATGGATGGACGGACGGACGGACGGACGGACGGACGGACGGGCGGACGGGCGGACGGACGAATGGATGGATGGATGGATGGATGGATGGATGGATTGATGGATGGATAGACGGACGGACAGACGGACGGACGGACGGACGGACGGACGAATAGATGGATCGATGGATGGATGGATGGATGGATGGATGGATGGATGGACGGACGGACAGACGGACGGTCAGACGGGCGGACGGACGGGCGGACGAACGAACGGACGGACGGACAGACGGACGGACGGACGGACGGACGGACAGATAGATGAATGGATGGATAAATGAATGGATGGATGGATGGGTGGGTGGACGGACGGACGGATGGATGGATGGATGGTTGAGTGGGGGAAGCGTGACAAACTTGCTAACGGTGCGTCGACGTGTAGATCGGCAGATCTGCTGAGGGAAGCCCAAGTAAACATGCTCGTGTTTATCCTCACCATCATCCCGACGGCGGCAAAGAAAACCTACGAGGAGATCAATGAGATGTACCACGACTACAGCGACATAGATACCTACAATGTCACTCACGGCTCCGACGTATGTTCCCATTTAATACAATAATTAACGTATTCATTCATAATCGTAATCACGTATTAATACCAAGTAATGCCCCCCATGTCGCGCTGTTTACCGGATCTGTATTTTATGATTTCTTTTTGATTAACCAGCAAAATTTGTAGATATTTGTAAAAAGATGAACAAAGGAATTGTAAAGATAAACATCTATCAGGATGTATAGGCGAGTAAACGCTTCCCGTAAGCATACGTGAGAGAGAAAATGCAAGAGATAGGAAAGGTTAAAAATGATCTATATTCTGTAGGTAAGGATTCCTGTGTGAAGTTGAAACTTGTACATCATATTTATAAAAACATATATATATATATGATTGTTCAATTATTTATTTCTTTATTTATTTCTTTAATTATTTATTTATTTATACGGTATTTAATCAAAATAATGCGGAATGTTCGATGTCTCAGTCGGCCATCTTGTTTTTTTCCAAGCAGAGGAGCCAATACGTCACGTCTCTCTACGACGCCATCATGATGCTAGTCTACGCTCTCAACAAGACCATGGCCGAAGCGCCACCGTCGGCCACGATCATCGACCAACGACAACTCGCTCTAAACACCCGCAACCTGACGTTTCGCGCCCTTTTAGGCGACGCCAGCACAGACGCCAACGGCGACGTCGAGTTTGAGTACGTTCTCCTGCAGAACAACATCAAGTTGGACATGTTCCAGACGGTGCTGTCGTTTACAAAGGTCGGCGACGATGATCACGTGATCAGCAAAGTGAATCCCGTCATCTGGGCGACGCGAGGTGCGATCCCGCCGGACGCCGACTGTGTGCTGCAGGATGTACCGTGTATCGTCGCCTCGTCGAACGGTAAGTTGACGTGTGTGCGTGTGTGTGCGTGCGTGCGTACGTGCGTGCGTGCGTGCGTGCGTGC